TTTGCTTCCACACCGGTCTCGAAATTGTGTAAGTACATACCGGCCAGACCCTATTTGTCGTGCCAGAAAAGCGAAGCTAAGCAAACAGAACTGCTCTGTTTCTCACCACGAATATTAATGGCAACCCAATCACCGACAACGGAAAAAGTTCAGCCTGCCACATGCATCGGATCTCACGGCGTATCGTCCTCAACTCAATTATTGAGAGAACCGCAAAGATACAAATTCAAGCGGACACGTTTCGATTGTCTTCTCGTTGAAACTAAAATCGCGTGCATACATTACAACACACTGCGGCACGATTGCTGGGATGACGAGCGTTGCATCGTCAGCAAGCTCGCATTACGGTGCTCTTCTTCGATGATTAGATACATAAAACTCCCGCCGGGCCAATAAACGACGGAGAATGCGCGTACAAACGAGTAATTCTTATGGAAATAAAGCGCCGTATAGGCTCGCGGAATCCATCAAGCACCCCCTTCTCCCCCCTGAACCCTCTCGTCATCGTCGTGGTGTCTTGGGCGCACGTATAGCCTAGACTCTCTCCCCACTCTCTGCCTCCTCTCGTTCCTGCATTTCCCATGACTGCATTTCACCCCCTCCTTCATTTTTTTCCCCTAAGTACCAGCGCGATTGTGTCATCTATCAAGCGCTACGAAAGCCGCTGCGGCGCTCGGCACCATTCTTATCGAACGGCGTCAAAAGGCTCCGCACAGTTTCTCCGGGTTGACACGTCTCAAGAACGTCCGCGATGGCGGCCTTCTCCTCCGCCGGCGAAGCCGATATTCGAGTGGCGCGTATAGCCTGGCTGGCAGGCTCAGGCCCTGAACGGCTCTGGTTCAGACTGTGGAGGCAGTGAAGGGTACAAAAAAAAGGAGAGCAGACGCTGCCATGCGGCATAGCTATAGAAATAAATGGCTTGATTATACAGCTGCGATCGAGGGACTTCCTCGTTGGAAAAAGGAATTGTCGCAGAGACATCTTTTAGGATAGTTCCTCGTGGCCCTATATCACCAATGATTTTTATACAAGCTCGGTCCCGGCATCTATGTGTTTTGTTTTTCTTTGATATCTGTTTGATCCGATGCTAATATGCCATAAAATTGTGCGTGACAACTTCGTATCTCCGTTCTAGTGGTCCCGCGCGGGGAACGGTGGTTGGGTGGTGTCATGCATATACGAAGCTTGAACGCACTTTACGCATGAAAACTTTTCTTCGGTGAAATGATTCTCTCTCTCCCTTGGGTAAATAAGAATGTGCAGTGCACGTTAGGGTGTAATCTTCTCGTAGTGATTGCCAATACTGCGTATCTCGTGCTTGTGTGCATTCGGCAGTTGTGGCTTTCTGATTGACTTCTGAGGTTTACAACAACACATGTCCGGCTATGTATATGTTCCTTTGCAAAGTGTAGAAGCGTTTGACTTAGAAACATCCTTTCGCGTGTGGAAACAGTGACTCTTTCAAACTTGCTTTTACTAGACCACTTATCAATGTGAGATTTTCTTATATATCGTAGAATAGAAAAAAAGAGAAAAAAACGGCCCCGTAACTGCATGGTAATCTGCAAATGTTGTCGAAAGACGATAGTCTTGCGTCTGGAGAGATTGAACAAAACGTCTATTTGATGTTCTGCGAAGGAAAATCGGTGAATGGTATTCTGGAGGCGCTGCGTTACAGTGCCTCGAGCGTGCCGCGGAGGCGAACAAGCACACCAAATCACGTCACACGTGAGACATGAGCGCTATCTGGCAGTTCTCTTGGAAAACGAAACGCGCTGCTCTGAGACGGGTGCGTGCCCATCTCAGAGGTGATAAGGTGTAGAAAGCAAGGCGACGAGTCGGTGCCACCACCGTGTCGTCTTAGCAAAGCGTTGGAAACACTTTCCTTTTTCGTGCAAGCGTTGAGTGATTAGCGGCGCGTGATAAACGCGACGGTCCTTAGAATAACTTATGTATGCCTTCTCTAGTAAAAGACGCACATACAGAATATATACGTGTTGTCATGGTGCCTCAGATACGCGCAATAATTGCTTTTTAATTGACAATCGCACTGGTATGAACGCTAGGTCTTGAGAAATATTGGTGGGCGCTGCAGATGGGGTTGGCCGTTTGGGATATCCGCTGATGCCAATTGAAAAACCTGGTACCGTTAAGGATAGACAAACATACAAATGGGCAGACAGACAGACAGACCAAAATGTTTGCGTCGAAGGTCCCCAAGCAAGACTATATCGTCAATAAAGAGAATTACAGCGACAATTTACCGGTGTCAGTTATCATTGTCGGTGAGTAATCAAATAACGTGAGCTCGACGAGATGCCAAGGGCTTTGGTAAAACACGAAAAGTGTATTTTACGTGCCGGGGTGGACATGGGAGAGTTCTAAAGGCGTTATATTATGACTGATCTAATATAGTGGGTGTCCATGCGGTAGCACGTAGAGTTTCAGGCTGTGGGACTACATGTCCATAGTTAAAATCCTGCCATTGGTACGTTGTTAAAGTTTTGTTAGTATTTATGTTTATCCTGCGTATATGTGCGTGGTGCTGATATTATATTGAGTGTTTGCGTCTACGTTGGCAATGTCACACTGAAATATAGATCGCACACACCAGCACAAACACTTCTTCTGGCTCTACAAACGCTCTCGGCCGGTAAACACGTTATTTAGGGTCGAAGAACTATTTATGTATTGAAAGAGTTGTATTGAAAGAGTTGTAAAACGCATACTGGTTTTATAAAGGTGACTAAACTAGCTTTTTTAGAGAGAAATCATGTGTAACTATACGAGCCATGATTTTGTATAAGGGCACCATTTTTTTCACATTTGCACACACAAAAAAAAGAATTACACAAAAATTTCACAAATCTGCATCTGTGCATCATGATCAAACGTCCGAGACAAATATTCAACTCTATCTATTTCAGCATATCAAGTGGGTTACTCGTTGCATGTGAAGTGAAACCTTATACGTGAAATTTCTAAATTTTCACCAAGATCTAACATCTACACATCTGACATTGCTACATAAGAAACGCTAATTTATTTTAGCAACCAAATAAATAACTGGATCTGCTTTCAGATAACAGCTGTTGTAACGCGAAAGTAAAAAGAAGAAAAAAACAAGACGCAGTGAGAGTGTTCTTGAAGAATTTTCGTATGGCCATCTTGAAGTAGCTTCTGTCGGTAATGAATGCGCATGACTGGCGCTTAACGCTATGGTCAGCGAGTTGTAGTCCCAGAAATGATGAAGGTAGCATAAAACAGTGCACAGCACGCTGCTGCCTGATCTCGCATGCTGTAGTCACTGCAGCAACATCATAAGATATAGGCGAAGCTGATATATCTTTAGCAGAGCTCACTGAAAAGCTTTGCCAAAAAGCAGAGACACATTCGTGCTGAAAAAAAAAACATCAGGTAGGCTAGGGGTTTGTTTTATAATAATAATAATAATAATAATAATAATAATAATAATAATAATAATAATAATAATAATAATAATAATAATAATAATAATAATAATAATAATAATAATAATAATAATATAATAATAATAATAATAATAATAATAATAAAACAATAATAATAATGTTTACCTCACATCAATAGTTTAATAAGGCCAGCTGCAGGTAAAAGATGCTCTCAAAAGAGGAAGCTAGACAAAGGTCCACAGCCGCCTTTTAGCACGACAGCAATGGCAAACAGTAATATAAACTAAAAAAACAAACACGACAAATCAAGTTCAAATCGCCCCCCCCCCTCCCCACTAAATAGCAACGTAATAACAATATAGCAACTGCAAAGAAGTATATCACACAATTGGGTCTGTGTACAGAGTAAGAAATCTTGATGATTGATTTGTGGGGTTTAACGTCCCAAAACCACCATTTGATTATGAGAGACGCCGTAGTGGAGGGCTCCGGAAATTTTGACCACCTGGGGTTCTTTAACGTGCACCCAAATCTGAGTACACGGGCCTACAACATTTCCGCCTTCATCGGAAATGCAGCCCAGAGTAAGAAATCTATGGCAGCTTTTACATATTTATTAAGTAACGTAGTAACTATGTAGGTAAACTTATCTCCGGAGTAGTTTATTTTCGACGTTTTCTTTTCCATGTTTCTCGATTTCGTGTATCAAACAATGTAGTATTTGGCTGCAGCTTTGAGAGGTCGTACAAAAAATGACGACTTTCAATTCGCGCCTGATCGCCAATTCTAACTTAAAATCGTATAGGCGATGGACGGGTAGTGGGTGTAATACTAGCACAGGCAAAAAAAAAAGATAAAATGAAGAACAAAATAAAAAAGAAGCAAGCATGAATGAAAAAAAGAAGATAAGGAAAAAGAGAAGGAAAGAAGGAACGAAAATTATTAGATAAGGGGAGGTAACACACATCAGAATCTGTAAGCGACGTGGTGGAGCTGCGCGTATGTCTTAAGCCAATGCGCTAAACTGCGTGTGAAGCGTCACCGGGCTACCCACCCACCATAGAGTAGCCGCTGATACGAGTAGGCTGTTTCTTACCAATCACAGACTAGAATCGCATCAGTTCGAGCCGTCAAAAGCCAGAACACTTCCTTATGAAATATTCACAGTTTCCTCTAGTGAGTAGAAATTTTATACGCTCGACGGCTTGAACCAATTTATTTGAGTCGGGTAGAGAGTATCGTAAATGCCAAAAAATAGTGTTCATTTTACAACGCATTCTGCGTCAAAGATGGTCCAATTTTGAGTGAACCAGCCTTCTGTAAATTTATTTCCATTGAGGTAGGAGCAAAGCACAAGAATACTTGGCAATTAAGTATATGTGGTTAACACTAATATTTAGTCGACGTGCGTATACCCAGGGATGTTATCGAGGATGATGGTGGGACCACAATATTTACGCTTTGTAAGCGCAGCTGGATATGAAGCATGGCACGAGTACTTGTGAGAACGTGTTCTAACATATGTATTATTGAAGAGAGCTAACTGGTGCTTACCCTTCTTCATTGCAGTTTTGTCGCAACCATTCGAAGTCCGTGCTTACGACGAGTTCGTGACACGGGGAAACGCAGCACTGTTCCGATGCCACCTGCCGTCGTTCGCAAAAGATGTGTTGGCCATCACCGCCTGGCTCAGGGACGACGGTCTGCTCATTCACTCGACCCTCGCTGAAGGTAAGTGCTGAGCGAAATGGCCCTGCAATGATGACCATTCAAGATGACTGATTACAATTACGGCGCTTTACAATGTTCAAGTATTAATCAACTTCCAGGGTTTTACGGGTTTGGACAGCTACATGGTTATCAGTAATAATGCTGCGGGGGACTCTGGTGTGATTCTACGTTTGGTTCTTTACCAATACCTAGATATTATCTTTTCATTTACTAGTGTACCCTCGAGACCAAGACGTGGTTAAAGAGGGAGTGGGCACAATATAAACATGAAAAGAGTAATACCAACAGTTGAGAAAATACGAGTGTGTATCGTTAAAGAATAAGAAAAAAAATAGCGTATTTACATGACGAAGTGTCACAAGACTGCAGACATGCACAGAGCTTGGGCCTTAGTAGTGCACGTGCGCTCTTGGCTTCCACCCTGATAGAAATTCTACCGTGATGCTGGAAATCGAATCAATGCTTGGAGCTTATCATCAAGACGCTGTACTTATGCGAGTATATATTTAATATTTTTAACAATTTTATTATCAACTCTCTATATTATTATTATTATTATTATTATTATTATTATTATTATTATTATTATTATTATTATTATTATATTATTATTATTATTATTATTATTTAGTGAGCTATGCGGGTATATTAATAAAATAATTGGAATGCATTCAATTGAGCTGCCCATGGGAATCTACATTTTAGTTACGTAGTGACTGGGCTGTATAGCAAGCGAAGCAACCGTAGAGCTACTTTTTGACCGACTTTCTAAATTCTAGAACTCGTGTTCATCAGTCTGTGTGTCTGGTTTCACATGCGCTGCAGCAATAGTGGTCCTAAATAAACACTTGCTTGCACCAGGCGGGACGTACATATAATTTAGGACACATGCCTTATGATCGTTTTGCGTGGCTGCTGTAGTTGCAAACTAAGGCACAGGTTGAGTTGAGATTTTACTAGAACAACTCAACAATGGAAAACTGGCAGTACAGATGGTAGTTACAAATATGAACATTCGCAAGTAATCAATGCAAATTTCCTGACAAGTGCCGTTTGTCAGTGGCAACGATAATGAGGAATTGAAATAACTTGTGGTAATGAATGTTAGATCAGCGATGCAGACTAGGACTGACGAACTACGGTGGCTGCATTTTCGATGGAGGCGAAATCGCTGTAGACCCATCTACTCAAATTTGGGTGCACTCTAAAGAATCCCGAGTGGTCGAAATTTCTGGCGTCCTCCACTGCGGTGTCTCTCATAATCACATGGTGGTTTCGAAACGTCGAACTCCGCATATCAATTAGGCCTTACGAAGGTAAAACACACAGGGCTGACATTAAACAACGTTCAATAGCGAAGCGATTTACATACTATATACTTTTTGTTATATAGGCATGCGCAGAAGAAAGTACAGTAATCAACCGCATCGACGCCTATACATTATTAAAAATTGTTGTCACGTGTTGATTGAGCAATAACGGAGTAAAAATATAACTTTGAGTTATTAAAAAGAGCAGTAATTAATGTGTGTGCTCTAAGACTGGGAGGTATTAAGGATGTGCCGTTCACACTAAACGCGAGTAATCACTGAAGCTAATCAGAAGTTTGAAAGCTTGAGTGTAAGTTTCCCTTTAGTTACACTATTAGCGGAAAACATAACGTAGTGTATAGTAATCAATTTTGAGTTATTACTGGCTGCTTTGCTCAGTCAATACGTGACGGAATTTTGGTTGATGTACAGCCCTCGAAGCGATTGATAACTGCACCATTTTTCTACGCATGCCTGTATTCCGCACATACGCATGTATGCATGCATTGCTTCGTTAATAAATGTTGTCGAAAGCCATCGCTGTGTGTGTTAGCTTCGCCAATCGATACCTGTAGCGTGGATCTTATATTCATCATGTACTACGAACATGCCCAGAGAGAGAAACACAGGTATCTTGTACTCTTCATATTTTCGGTGGTGCAAACATAAGTAATTTGCACGACATCGTCGTTTTTTGCGATGTAAAGACAAACACGTGACATACAAAAGGATGACAGCACCTTGTTTTCCTCGTCTCTCGCCTGTTTATCATTTTGGATCTGAAACGAAGATGCCAGCAGGTGTTCATTAGTTCGCCCAGCAACAAGTTTTATCGGTTATATAGCTATCAACAGCGCCTAAAGATGCCCGAGTAAATGTTCAAGTTGCAAAGAGCAACGCTGTCCGTGAGGAATGCAGGCGGTGCCTGTAGCAGTGGCACAGAGCCACTCAGGTACAGTTCCCCTCCTTCCGGTACTGAACTTCGGCTTCAACAGTCGTTGCTTCATTGCAGGGCAGACGAGAGGGCGTTCGGTCGGTCAGCACGTGGTGTCGTTGCCCCGTGGTGTCGTGTAAGAGAAAAGAGGGAGTGCGAGAAAGGGCGTGGGGTTGAAGAGGATGCGAGGAGGGAGTCCCCATTCAGGCCTCTGCATGTGCGAACCAGCTTTGCTGTCTCCGAGCGAGAGAAACAATGGAACGCGGCTAATGCGAGTGGTACTCGCTGGACGGGCTGCCGAGATACGGACGGCCCTCATGCCCCGCTGCCGGCGTCGTCGGCGCGGGAATGTGGTGGTTCTCGCAACAATGCGTGGAACCCGAAGCTTGCCGCGAAAGAAGAGGACAGGAGTGGAGGAGGGGGAGAATGAATATCGAGAACTGCGGGACAAAAGGGGCCCCGCTCGCGGAAGATACGCAGACAACGTTGACAGCGCCCGGCGCCGGCTCCGACACCGGCCTGCGACGGCTGAGAGAGGAAGAGAGAATGGAAGAGAATGAGTGCGTGAATGAGAGAGGGACATGGGGAATGCTGAACGCAGCGGTATAGAGTGCTAATAACGGTGAATACACGCGCAAGTAAGAAACAACAGTCTGAGAAGAAGCTCGTCTCTCGGATAGGTCTCATAAACGAGAGTGTTGTTTTCTGCGGCCGGAAAGTGGAATGCATATATGTTGAGGATACAATCAAAAACGAGAAGAAAACTTATGCTGTCAGTGACTCGCATACCATTTTTTCTTGCTCTTTCCCCGTTTACCTTTTTTTTTTGCATTTGGGATAAATAACGCGTTCTTTGAGAAAGACATCAACTGACGAATTCTTGGAGTTTGTGCGTTATAAGGGTTGCGAAGCAACACCGAGAAATAGGACGAGTTTAGTCATCTGAAAAAAAAAATCTATAACTACGGAAAAGACACAGATGACGTGTGACTGGGTATGTCTGCCTCAAAATGCATGACGGCAGTTATGGAAATTACGTAGTACATTATAACAGGTATGTATTGCAGTGCGGCGTCACAGTACTGTCTACCATCGATACACTGTGCGAACTGCCCTACCGACTAATTGGAGGGGCACAAGACTGCAAGTATACACATTTTAGTTTATGTCACACGCTAATTGAAGGTAATGAAGACAGCGCAGTACCAACTGATTTAAAGCGAACGGGAAGTCATTCATGACATGTCGTAAAGTTCTCATGAATATAAAGATGCTAAACTGAAAGCAATTGAATTGAGCCTGGTGTTTTCTTTACGTAGACAGCTAGGGTTTGCACGTTCCAGTTCACGTAAAAAGCGGTGTTAAAGGGACTTTATACCATAATCCCTCGCCTATATGCGTTTTGTCGGAATAAAAAATACACTATCTAAAGTGTCCAGCCTTGCAACGGTTTTTCTAGAAAGCGTGTAGAAATTCTTTAAGCAGCATTTTTTTATCTGCGTTCGGTCTCCTTCCATCAATGGGAAAAATGCCCACAAGACTGGTCGGTGGAAGCGATGACGATTGTATGCCGGTAAATGTCCGAAGCTGAAACTGCATATGCTTGTTTGCAGGCTTGATCAAGTATTACTTAATATTAAAACAACACCTTAGTGGGTGTTTAAAACACGTTGACATTTTTTGTTGTTCTTATGAGTAGCGGCAGACGCAGTGCTTGCGTTTCTCAGCCGTTTGCAGGAAAGCATGCAGGCAAGCAATCACACCACCGACAGCGCCACCAGGTGCTTCTTCGAACGGGTCAAAGAAAAAGCAAAATATTCTTTTAGCGCCACGTAAAGCTGCCTAAGAGCGTGGAATGCAATCTAAAATGATACATGGTCATTTTTCAGCAAAATTAGTCCACGTGCGGGGATGTCTTGTCCTGCGAGTAGACATAACCACATCAGTGCTGATTCATGCTAGGGGTCATTTATATGCCAAGCAGCTCTTCGAGTAACTTGTGTAACACTGTCTGTAGTACGTATCTGGGTGCTAACGAGTCGCACCACACTCCCCTCGCCGCAGGTGTTGGGGCGGTGAAGTAGGTCATCCCTACCCTCACAGTGCGCAGTGACATCACTTTCTCTCTTGCCTGCCATGCACTCGCCGCGTGTCACCTCTCTCTCTCGCTTCACCTTCTCCACCACTCGTATCGTTCAAGCGAACATCGAGTGAACACTCTTTCGGCTCGTTTATCTGCGATAAAGAGGACGTCGGAAAGCAAAACTCCTTCGCCCGCTGAGATATGCGCCAAAGAGATTTGGCCTCACCTGGCTGTCGCTGCCATTACGAGGGTTAGCAGAGCGGTCACGTTCGCGAATGGTGACGTTGGGCCGGCAACACCGACGAGACGGGAGCCACAGAAGCGGAACGCAAGTGACAGCAGCGGGAGACCAACGATTCCGCCGAGGCGCGACGCAGAAACATCAATCGCGTCCGTGCGCAACGCTGCTGCTTCGCATACCATCAGGGTTCTCATTGGGAAGATGTTAATTTTTTGTTGACTTTCAACATCGAAATAAAAATATAATTCTTTATCTATGAAACGAAATCATGCTGGTTGTCGACGATGTGACCAATTATCTCAATTTCACCACAATGAAAAATTTTCCCCCAGTGGTAAACAGGCACCTGTATGGTGGCCACACGAACTTCTTATTACTGTACGTGAGTAATTTGTGAAAGTACTGAAGGAATTTATGGTGCCAGCAGTCGTT